TATTCAGCAATAATATTAAAATTGCAAAAAAATGAAAGCGCTATTGTGTTTTCAAGCAAATAACATATAAAAACAGTTTTCAACATAGTGATTGTCAAATTTTTATTAGCTAAGTAGACGAATTCACTGACTTCAAAGATAATTTTATTTACAGTTATCAAACTGATTGTTTACAATTAACAAAAGAGATTAATTTTTTTTATTTGTACACTGTAGAAAATACCCATTTTTTTCAGAATTTCTCCGTTTATTTAACAGTTTAAAGCCATTTTGTTGACAAAACGGTTTTTCTCTGTTTTCACAAACTGTCTAATACCATCAATTATAATTCTAGTTTTCGCCATGTAGTTTTACGTTCCGTAATATAATTTTACATTTCCTACAATCATTTTACGATTATTATCTATACTTTCTCTCACTTTTTAGCAATTACTTCATGATTTTGAACATCGCATAAATAACAGTACGTTTTGACTTCATTGTCAAATTTATACAATACTGAAGTGAAATTCTCACTATCAGAATTTCTTCATAATAAAACACTTGAGGCGACAGAGCACGCGCTTCCTAATGAAGTGAACCAGGTTTAAATCGCAGAGGTGACAGGTGTATACAAATTCTGCCGAATTAAATCATTTACATCTGGTATAAGTACAGATTTACTTCGTTACTCTCATACATATAAAGTCAGTTGAGACTACAGATTTATTTTTGTTGAAGAAACTTGTTTCTCTACGGTAAAAACTCTGATTGCGGATTTTCTTTGTAATTTTTACGGAAAAATCTTGTTCTTGTATGGCAAAAAAAAACATTGCGGCTACGGATTTATTTCGAAAATTTTACGGTTTTGCACAATCAACCCAGCTGCCGAATTAAAGCCGTAAATTTTACGGGATTTTGATAATGTACCCTCTAACTGAAAACTTCAGGAAACTTAAATTTTGTGCCCCTTGTTAAAAATTTAAATGTTGCGACTGTTGAAGAAATTAATAGTTCTACATAAGACAATTAAAATTCAAATCATAAATCATCAAAACCAATGTTTTTGGATTAATTCATTTTTATATTAGGTGGGTACGTCGCACTAGAGCTGAACAGTGGGCTATTGGCGACGCTCTGAGAAACATCCCTGAGGATAATCCGAAAATATGCCATCGCAATTTTGATCCTCTGCAGAGGGGATGGCTCCCCTGTTTTGGTACCCCGACTACCTGCGCGTGAAGTCGAGCATTTTACAGTAGAACAGTTTAACGAGGACCGATTTTTTACGCATTTTTACATTAAGATTCAAAAATAGATTTGTGACTGACTACAAAATAGAAGAAAAGTGCTCCCACAACTTCTTGCTGTCACCCAAAGAAAATCCTTTATTATCTATGTTAAAGCTACTCAATTTCAAACATGGCACACTAGCTGCTGTAGCAATTCAAACAATCTAAAGCTGTATTGAGTTTATAATGATTAACAATGATAACTTTGTGCCTTAACCACTAATGTGCCATCGCAACTTCGAAATAACATTAAAGTAGGCAATGCAACAGAACTTCCTGAAATATCACAATTATGAAAGTGATCAACTGTCACTATTGATTTTGTGAGTATTGTGATAAAGAGTTGTTTATTTTAAACAAATCAATTGTTTAAAAAATAACGAGCACTTTCTAGCGTTTAAATTGCTTATTATTACATTTAATTATTTTTATTTGCTTTAATTTATATGCTTAAGGAATTTTTAAGAAGTTGCTTAATTACTAATAAGCATAATAGTTAGATTAAGTTAAGATAGTCTTAATTCTTTTTTTATAAATACATCATGTAATAAGTATGTACTTTTAATAAATTGGTTATAAATTTGTTACTTACGTAATATGTAATTTCTTACTGAAAGAGACACAAATCTATCAAATATCATTATTTATATGCTATTAAAATGATGACTGTATTTCCGCTGAGAACAACAATAAAAACGTCAACAAATCACTGAATTGAGTGATTCACAAAGAAAAGGAAATAGTATTGCAAATGAGTATGTGTCATTCCTTTTAATTTCACACACAATTAATTTTGTTTCTTTGTATTTTTATATGAAAGGCCCCCTAAAGTAGCCCACTTTATTCTTGCTGAAACATGTATGGAACATGTATGAAACATGACTTCACTCACTATGTCCAAATAAATGAAGCTGACTTCCGAAAATAAAATTAAAAAAACCTGAACGTTAACTTTTTTAAGTACATATCTATTTAATATAATATAAATCTGATAATATTCAATTTTTCTTTGATTTAAATATTTTGTTTGATTTATTAATATGTCAAGTTTATGTACAAAGTACCAAATGATTAAATTACAAATATTAAAATTTTAAAGAGGCCTGGGTAGCCCGGTTAGTAGGACGTTTGGCTAATGTTCGTGCTTACTGGCCGAAGAATTCCTATGTATTAAATGATGACTGATGCACGTTAAATCTGTCGGGTCACAAAGTTCTCCAGATTCCCATAACAGATCAGTACTGGAGCACTGAATTGGAGATTGATTGTTCTCTGGTTCAGGTCAAAATTTCGATCTGTGGATGAATGAATGGAGGATGATTGCCCACCCCCGTAACACGGATATGACGTTTGTGTAACTGAAGTCGCATTCTTAGTCATAGATGGCGCCACTGAAAAATTAGGAGACGTACCCTCTGACTTAAGAATTCGCTTGATTTCAATCAGGCTTGCTGATTGGCAAATGGCATAAGTATAACAATAACAGCAAGATTTTGAAAGTTTACAAAATACAAGAAATACAAATCTTTAATCTCAAGCTTGTAACGCAATAACTAAGCTGATCATGAGTTTTTCTTTTCCAAAATTAAAATCATTATATATTTTTTTTTAAAAAGGATCGTAAGGAAAGCAACTAGAGATAAAAATATACTTAAAATAACTGAACGAACTATAACTGAAATTTCAAATAAAATTGTATATTATATATAAAATGTATAGTTAAAATTACTTGAAACAGAAACGATAATAAAAAATAGTTATGTTAAAAAAATTATAATTAAAATAACTAATTAAAAAAGCCTTAATTAAAATATCTGATAAAAACAACTACAAAGAACTACAATATGTAGTTATTGTCATCTGATAATGATAATAATCATAGGAAGAGTGTGTATCCGTGTGCTTCTCTTATATCTCCCGAACAGTTTGCGCTAGTATTTTGAAATTCGCACCAGGGGTACAAAGGGCAGTTTCAAAATCGTACAAAATATAAAAATTTGAATTAAGCTTAGACTTAACATTTGGCTTATTAAAAAATTAAACTGCAGACGCTTTTTCTTTTCAAGTATTTTTAAGACAATATCAATGATGATTGTTAGCTTATACCTCTGTTTAATCAAAAACAAATTTTATCGGGTGATAGTCAATAATTATTTTTTATCCTTTTTACTTGGCAATATATAGTACCATCGTGGATAGCATGTGAAGGCTGCGTCACCTAATTCATATAAATGAAGTTATCTGAAATTACGTGTTTACTTCCTTTTCCGCAAGGCTGAACTTGATTGCAACCATCTGCATATACAAGCTTGCCCATAACCTAAATTTAAAAAGTTGCAATATCTTGGAACGGAAGATACTCAGACTTCTTACAGTATGCAGTTTTAAATGAACAAATACAAAACAAATTGACGCCACTATAAAATTTAATATATTGCAGCTGTCTACAAATTAATAGGGATCAAAGGGAAAAAATCTATACATTTTTAGTATATTTAATATCAAAATGCATCAAAATCGTAATTTAAAGAAAGTTACTTTGTCCTAGCAACTCTTACATTCATAAAAAATAAAGCATTGATGCTTGCGATTTCATTGTCCTTTTGCTCCGCAATCTCAATTCACTAGAACTCCAGGGGACGCTAACAACATAACAAAACAAATCAATAGTTTAAGTTACATATCATATTAAATTTCACTAATAAGAAAATATGCTCTATTTACCTTGGAAACAAAAGAATAAGAGAAATTATGTTTAGGAATATAACGTAATTGATAATTAAAAAACTAATACAAACATTTGGCTAATACAAACAAAACATATGGTATTTAAACAATTAGTTGGGGATTTTTCCATTTATATGATAACAGTTTGTCGAAAATTCTGGTTTTCAAAACTATACATTTTAATATCAGACATTTTGCAAAAATACAAAACTGAAAACTCAATTTAGCCGATTAAATGTTTTTTTAGCCATGCTGTAAATTATAAGGATAAAGTTACCAAATTTTACCACATTCACCGAATTTTATAACATATCATAAAACAATATTTTATTATTAATTTTACAAAGCGCTTCGGTAAAAATTACGAAGTATTTCGATGTTCCCATGGAAGCAGAAATATGGAAACTTTGACCATCAATATGGGTAATTTTAAACATGCTTTTTTCTCAGTGCACGTACAAAGTGCTAGACCATATTAAGATTAGATATTAAGTATTATTAGCAGCTTTAGAATAACAAATCGGATTTTGATATTATATGCAGAGGTCGATATTGTGCTTTTGAAATTATCTGATTCAACTCATTCTTTTTGATTCAACTATTATAAAAAACATTTGCTTTCATTGATTTTAAAGCTGCTAAAGAAATTATTAAAAACATCTCTAACTTATAAAAATATTAATTAATTAATTTTTAAATGCTTTTAAGATTTCGTAAAACTAAATTGAAAGACACAAACAATTTCAAAACAAGATAAATCAGGTTTTATATTTTAAAGCAAATATCTCATATCATAAATTGATTGCCCAGATACAGCCAGAAATATTGACTACTTATTGCAGACAGCTTCAACCATTGTTTACAAAGACAGCTTTGCTCACATACCGAAAGCATTTATTGATTCAGATGCCAATGAGATTCGACACACAGGCGTGACGTCATGAACGGGTATCTAATTAAATTTTATTTTAATCACGTGGTTAGGCAAAATCACTTCACTTCTTCTCAAGTTGCAATTTTAATAGTTGCATAGTTTAAAACCGAGTGTTTTATGTATCAATCAAACTAAGTTATGCAATTGAGAAACCTGCTGTATTGAGTTTTTACTATCACCAGTTTGCGGCGATTAATAGTATCATTTTCATTACAGGACAATACTGAATATAGTTAGACTTTATATTGATGAATTAAACTTTTAGATATCTGTTTTACTTATTATTGCCATCTTATAAGTAATCTTAACTCTAATCAAATAATAATCGGAATCAGTAGTTCTTATAGTTTTTATTAATTGTGTCAGTATGAACCTCTCAGTTTTCTGTATAATTTTGTAGGTATCGGTTCATTGCTTATCTACTATTTTCAACCGGCAGGAAGAACGGGTGTTCTGCAATGAAAAGTAAGTAAATATCTTATGATATAAACATAATATATGATTCTTCCTTTCTGAGGAGATTTAACACCTTTTAGCGTGTTTAATTGTTGCTTTGGTAAATTGCTTTTTGAGCTAATTTTCCTATAGGTTTATGTTTGTATTCCCGATTTATAAGCAACAAAGATTTTCTACTTTTAACAATACTTAGAATTTAATGGTTAGATTTCGAACTTTTCACCAACTATTATTAACATTACATACAACTCATCAAATATTTATCTTAATTTAAATAAAACTGGGTAAGATTTACTTTTGTCAATTGTAGTTGTCAATTGTTAAATATTTAATAAGATTTGTTGAAACGAAAATACTGTTTAAATTGGTATAACAAGTTCTTACTGCCTTATTCAATCGACTTTTTCTTTGAGTAGTAGATCAAATATAAACGTTGTAATATTTCATTTTAAAAAAGTGTACTTTTCAAAAGTATACTTTACATGTAAATCAAATCGCTAAGTTTATAAATTTAATGCAACTTTCATAAATAAAGGGTTTTACTTTCTTTGCCTTATTACTATGATATGTTTTTAACAAGGAATAATATTTGCGCTTTAATCGTTTTGATATCTAATATAGTGAGGGATTTTTCAAGGTCATTAGTGCACAGATAAATAACTGATTTGCGTTGGTGTTGAAAATTCCATTGTTTAGTACCTTTATTCAGCCTTTTCAATTTAAATATAAAACTGCAACAATGATAAGTGTAAACAATATCAACACATGTTTGTGTTATCAACCAGCTGATAACTGTTAGGTGATATGACGTTTCGAATCCGCTAATGACCACTTTCTTTTATGAGCAGTTCTAGAATTCTTCCAAAACAGGAACTGTTAATCACCTACCAATCATGTCTAATGACGAAAACTGTCAATCTCTCGAAGGTAACGGAAAGGGTAAAAATATCATTTCGTATTTTTCATTTTTAAAAAAATTAAAATTCCAAAGTATCTTAATTTGAACAAAAATATATCTTATTTATTTGAATAAATTAATAAAAAAGGAACTTAATTGATTTAGAATAATACAAATATATGGATAGGGTTCTAAATACAAATGAAAGCAAAAACAAATTTCGTGCTCCTCACGTGCACAACTTCCGGTTAGGCAGTTAACAACTGCTTACTACAGTTTAACGAGGGAGGCGATATTTTCTAAAAGATAATTTTTTTTCACTAAAAAAATTAATAATATAAGTTCTGAACTCAAATCTGCTGCATTTCATTTGATATTAATGATAATTAAAACTTTTGGGTAGTTTAATGTGAAAATTTTTATTAGTTATTTGCTAATATATAGTTAAAAAAGGTAACATGGTTACTACATTTAGAAAAAATTGTCTTTTTGTCAGTCTTGATTTGGCTTCTTTTAAATTTGTTTACTTCGATTTATTCATGTTGCAAGCAGTGCACCGTGTATTCGTTAACGCTGTTTTTCGAAGCTGTGTCACCAAGAAAAATAAAAAAAGACATAGTTTAAGTGCCTTACACTTGAAGAATGCGATGACAAATAACTTAAATATTTTAAAGGTTATTAAACTTCTTTAAAAGTATCCGATTTGGGGTGACATTTACCCACCTAGATGAAAATTATCAAAATCACTACCGTATTCTCAGTTTTTGCGACTTCTTAAGAACCTAAAAAATGCAGCATCGGAGTAAGTTTTTAAGTATTAAAAAATTAGAGCACAAGCGCTTATCACTTTCACAAAACTGTTGGCTTCTCCATATTGACGTTAAGCGCCCTTTTCAAAATAATCGTGGACAGCGCTGGCTAAAGATAGGATAAACTTGACCTAACTGTTATGAATAACAGTTGCAAACTCCCAGCAGTTATAAAGAATTAGCATAATATTCGCAAAAAAGCGTCATTTCATATTACAATGGAGCCTTCGAAAAACAATGTTAGTATTTAGTTAGAGTAGCATAAGATAAGGCTTAATTTGCAAATTATCATTTAGATTTAAATTTCGAAGTTTACAAAGTAATGAGTGTTTTGTTACAATTTTTATTCCAATATAATTAGTGCCTCTCAAACCAAATGTTTTCTACCTTTTTCACCATTTATGTTTATTGTATTATTACTGTTACCCGGATTACTGTCTTTATTATTTACTGTCTTTAAATTAATTTCTGTGTTCCTTCTTAGCGCGTTGAACCAAATGGTTTTAAATTACAATGGATACAGTAATCCGGAAAAATAGGCGGTAAAGAGCCTGGTAGAAAATACCATCTACAGAAATGCTCTAAAATTATTTCCCTAATAAAAAGTATCAGAAGGCATAAGTGTAGGTTGACGTAAAAATTTATTATTCTATATAAGACAACAGATTTTAATGCTTCTTTCACAACCTCTAATAAAATCCTTATATTATATTTAACGATAAAAAAAATATTGGAAATCATTAATGTTTGTTACTGTTAATATTTGTCGACACGACACCACAACCACTGTTAATATTTAATATACTTTATATAAAACGCCGAATTTTAATACCGAAGAGCATAAAATCTCTATTAAAGCTTTTTCATTTAGAGATAATAAAAAAGTATTAGAAAAGATTAATATCTTTTGACCTAAAAATATAATACTTACGTATTATTAAAATATAATATTATATTAAAATATAGTATTGTTAAAATATAATATTAAATTAATTTTTACGAAAAATGAAATATTCTATGTAAAACATAGAATTTTTACATGTCTTATAAAACCTCTAAAATTCATATTATATTCAGGCATAGAAAAGGTATTAGAAAATATTAATTTCTGTGAATTTAAAAAAAAATTCTATGAAAAATATAGAATTTATGTATGTCATACAAAACCTCTAATAAAGTTCTAGGTATAAGAAACTGTTAAAATCATTAATGTCCAGGTGTTTAAATTATTTCTAGATGTTAAAGCAAAACATATATATAACAAAACATTTAAAATTCTAAATATGTAAATAACATTCCAAATCTCTGTAGATATTAGGAAAGAAAGGATAACTTCCAGAGATGAACCATTTCTCACATGGGATAAAAAAGTTCCTCATACCAGATTGGAACATTTTCGGAAAAGAATTTCTGAAAAATATAACATTGAATTAAGTAAGCTCATTTTTGTATATTTCTTTCTTTAGTGACAACCACAACCATAGTTATAACTTAACTGGATTAATTTATAAAAGGTTTTGTAAAGCAACAATTTAGTGGAACAATCCAAAGCATAATTTTAAAGTTCTAGAAATTTAACTTATAGATCTTTTATTTCAAAGCAGTTTCCTGACTAGTCTTACAGTCTAGTTATAAATATACGGGTTAAATCATTAAAATAATTATAACAATAGGTTAAAATATCGACTAACAATAATAATATCAAATAAATCATCGACTATTCATTTGCTTTAGATTAAAGATTTTATATTAAATTCTTGCAGCACCTTTTAACATAAAATTTATATGAAATGAACATAATATTTGGAAAATTAACTGAGACTATATCAACTCGATTCTTCTACACTCGACATTTCATTTCTTACATTTTTGTGCAAAACCATAAAAAAGTTTTTTCTTCCTCATATTTAAAAAATTCTTATGCGTAGTTAAAGCTAAAATTTTCATGAATTTTCATGCATAAAAAAAAACATAATTTGTGGCTTTCGGAATTTTACATATTCACGCTATTCTTACAATATTTTGTTTAACATTTTGTGTTAATCATTCCACATTTTAAAAACATATTAATTTGTATCGATATTTTAATTATATTCGTTTTAATTTTTATTTTTATTATTTTTGTGTAACTAAAAATACCTTTCCTTAATAATTCATATCACTAAAAAAAAATTTTTTTCATTTTCATTGTCATTATTTTATATAAAACACTAATTGCTTAGTTTGCTAATATCTACTAGAGTTACACTATTCGGTTATTGACGACATTTTATAATTTATTCTTAATGATGACCCGAAGAGCATACTGAAGCATTCACGCGCTACACTAATACAATTTAGGTTAGAAAGAAGATTGTAGTAATCATCTGGTGCTTACTCTGCACTTCCCAACCGCCTTTCTATTTTTTGTCGAAATTTATATGTTTGAAAACGCTGCATATAACAGAGAGTCGCATAAATGTAATGACTCACTTCTGGGAGAGTTAGGCCACATAATCAGGATTAAAATTGCATAGACACCCGTGCCCAGAAATATCGTCAGATGGAACTTCCCTATTATAAACTGTTCCTTTTGTGTGCTTCTGAACAAGCCACAATTGAGAAGGGACCCTTGCCGCGTACGATGACATTTACAGGAATAGGATCCCATGCAATTTTAATCCCGTTGATGTGCCCTAACTCCCTTACGCACACATCATAACATTTATGCGACCCCCTGTTATATATAACATTGAGCATTTCGACAAAAAAATAGATTAAAACTGTCATTTTGAAAGAAATATCTGAAGCTTAAGAAGCAAAACTAATTTGTGATTTGCAATCTACACACCCGTTTTGAGGTAACATCAGGAATTTACATAAATGCAATGAAACATTTGTTCCCCAGTATTATTATCTTCACCTACTTAATGTTTGTAATAATTTTCATAATATTTTAGACAATTACTGGGATTTGCATAAATGGAGCATTGAACATTTTGAGCAATTTTGGGAAGAAACATGGAACTACTTAGGTTTCATTACATCAAAGCCACATGATCAAGTAAGATGTTAAGAGTTTCTTTTAAAAAAAATTAAATAAAAAGTGATGTACGTTTTAGTTTTATCAAAAGTACAAAGTTGTTTAACTCTTTTTTTTTACTAAGTCTTAACGTTGATATGTAAACAGAAACAATTTTGTCTCTCAGGTAAGTTGCGCTCCTTGCGTCACGTAGGCTACGTTTTCTCGATTGGGGAATGAACTATATAACAACTGTGCAAATGCCTGAGAGGACGGTACAGTTAGTTCCATTTTCATGTTCTAAAGTAGCTCTGCGTCTGCTTTATGTTTTTCTCATTGCATTGCTTGTACATGATATTTTCTTTACAATTTGTGTTTTAATAAAATTTTATTTGCCGACAACTATTTTAGTATTTAGTTGGAGGTAGACTGCAGTTACAACAACAATAGCAGACTGCATAAAATTGCAGAATTATCATGGAAAAGGATTTAGCACTTCGAATTCCAAAATCATTGGCGATAAATTATCTTCGTTTGTCAGTGAAAATGGACGCTTTTTTAAACGTGAAAAGACTAATGCCAGCTTTAACTGACTAGGTTTCGACTGACCAAACTATACCATTTGGGATACTACAAACCAAGGCGCAGTTAAATATAAAGTTATCACTGTCCGACGAGCAAGCTTTGCAATACACCTAAAAAAAGATCGCAAAAGCATTACGGACTAGAATTAAAGCGACATGCTTGAAGAAGATATAAAGATTGATACCGATACTGAACTTATGAGCTTTAAAATACTGGATTCGGAAGCCGTGAGAGATTATATTGCTCGAGCCAAGAGACTAGCGGCAAAATGTGCTGCCTTAAGATTGAAAATATCTGATTGAGAGTTAATGTTTTACACAGCTGGAGAATACGAGTGAACCAAACAAGGGTTGAAAACTTAACGGGGAAATTCGATAGAAGAAACTTTACGGATAGAGAAAAATGAGTTAATTCAGAGATTAATTCAGATTCCGTTGACGAAAAAGTTCACACTCAGCGTATGTTACCCAGAAGAAAAGTTTATCTCGAAAAATTAGTTTTGTTTGTAGACTGCCTGAACACTTGGCGAGAATTTGTTATTCTAAAGTACAAGAAGTGGGAATTGACAAACACTATAATCCTTCGATAAGGCGAGTAAAAGTTCATTGAAAATCTAATTTTGAAGAATCTAATAGTATCTATGCAGCAAACAACAAATTTTAGTATTTACACGTATGAGGTGTAAGACTTTTCCTTTACCCATATAACATTTTCGCACTTATAACATAGTAAGGGCCTATTAAATATTGAATTTGAATATGCATAGCTTGATTTGAATGATTCATGCTTTAATACTATTCATATAATTTATTGCAATCTTTATTGTTATAGGTATTTAGGAAAACAGGAGAAGGCATCCTCGATGTAGAATGGTTTCCAGGAATGTTATTTAACGCAGCAGAAAATCTACTGAAAATAAAAGAAAATAACAGAACCGCAATAATATATTTAGGCACGTAACTATATTTCTCTTTATCATCTGAAGCACTTTGTGTCCAAATCAGTTCGTCCACTTCAGCTTAAAATAATTCTTGCTCAGATATCTTTATTTATTTATTTACTTATTTATTTGTTTATTTATTTCTATTTATAAGTATTATTTAAAAGTAATATTATTAGTATTATTTTTCAAAAAATTGCTATTAACCTCAATTCTTCTCGAGTTCTATTATTGAGAAGACAACGCAGCTTCAGATTGGTGGTTATCAGCTTGTCTGAGAAGTAAAGGTGGCTTGTGCACAATGCTGACCACACTGCCGCACTCTTGACGCTGATTACGAATTTGTGCAGGTTTTAACTTCCATGATCCCCCTGAGCTAAAATGGGCAATTGCGAGAATGATCACTATCTTTTATTTATTTATTTTACTTAATCATTTATTTATTTACTTTCTTTTACTTCTTAAAAATTGCTATTAGCTTTAATTCTTCCCTTAAAAGCAAATTAGAAGCAAATAAGGTCATTGGCAGTATTTTTTTCTATTTTCATTTATATATATTTTTTTAGTGTTTCGACTCTTAGTTTCAATTTTTGCATTATTTAAAATTATTACAAAACTAAAACAAACAAAAAAAATAGTGCGTGGAGTCCCTCGGCGCGGAAGAAGTTAAACTTCGCAGCCTGCGACGTTAATTGTAGAAGAATCAGCAGTCGTAGAAAGATCACTAGTTCGATTCAACGACTCGTTTTCCTGCTCCGCTCGCTTCCGTGCTCTGTGATCACGGTAATATTGTGCATTTTTCCCTCGTGGACCTCTTGAACCAGTGGAAGTGCTTGTGGTTGTCTCATCGTCTAGCCCTGGAAAATGTATTTGTACTAATAATGTATGTGAATGCGTCATAATGTAATCTCAGAAGAGAAAACCTAACAATCAATTGATATTCACAAGAGACGTACCTTGACATAACCTTAAATCCGTCGCATTGTCCGTGGGATTGTTTTCACTCATTTTTTACAATTGTTATCCACTAAATTTGAAAATAAAAAATACTACCCTATTAAATTATATGTGTATCAAAACAAACTAAAAAAATATTTATAGAAAAACAATACTTTTATTATTTTTATGCTAGTGAGAACCAAAACAATATGGAAATGAATGAGTGAAAACTGGATCCTACCACGTGATTTCCCGGCCAATAAAAATTTAGCGTTAAACGTTTAACGCAACCTGTTGGAAGTCGCATAAGAAGTATAACTTCAATAATTATTTTCAAGAAATAAATTAATGCAACAGAAATTCAATGACTCGATTAGTATCGTAAACTTGTACCGGCTCGCTGTATCAGACAGCATTTAATAAATATCGAAATCAGATCAATCCACTTTAGCCTATTGTTTTTTTTTTTCAAAAACTCAAATTAAATGCAGATTGTTTGTGTTTGTTTGCTTTTTACTTTATTTTTTTAATGTTTTCTTGAGTTTTAAGCTTTTTCATTGTCTGAAAAATAATAAAACTAAAAGATAAAAAGGAAATTTCTATAAATAAAATTTTCATTTACTTTACTAGCTGTTTCCAGCAACCAATCGATCAATCTTCACAAACTAATTACTTAATTGACAATATTACTGCAATTACTACATTGACATTGCTGCCTAAGACGCATTGCTCTGAATCCTTAGTTTTCTCACATAGAATTGCCTCACAGTGATTAATGTCATGCAATAGATTAAAATGTGTTTGTCGATTCAGTAAATAAAACGCATTATACATCTGTTTACGGAGTCAATACTGCACGAAGAAGACGTTTTGATCCCGCCCTTTCGATCCCGTTGCCGATTCGATCACGCTATTTCAGTCCCTTTAACGGTCCTTGTCTATTCCTTTCTGTTTTTCTTTTTTAGGTATTGAAATTTAAAACATTTTACTAAAGACGCACATTTTTCTAATGTTTGTTATATTTTATAACCATCGTTGAACAGTCGATCCAATTTTGAGTTTACGATTACCAATGTTATACTTAGTAGCTTTGCAATTTTGAACCCAATCCAGAACACAAGGGACTCCTGGATCAAGTATAGGGAGAAATTTATCTTCGTGAATTACTTTTTGATGGGTCCCGCAGTGGACTGATCGTTAAGACACGGTTCCCAGCAGATCACCGAAGTCAAACATCACTGACTACGGTCAGTGTGCGGGTGGGTGCTCGTAAAGTGCTCGACTTCGCGTTCAGGTCGTCGAGCTACCGAAGCGGCGGTGCCATCCCCTCCGCAGAGGATAAAAATTGTGATGGCATGTTTTCGGATCATCCTCCGGGATGTTTCCCAGACCGTCGCTAATAGCCCATTGTGCAGCTCTAGTACGACGTAAATTAACAGCAACAAAACTTTTTGATGGAACTAATATATTACGGTTTCAATAAAACACAGAAACAAATAATTATTCTAAGTTAAGTAAAAGACGTAGCAGAGAAAGAATTGTATTTCACCAAATTCGATGTACGATACGGCATTGTATTTAATTAATATTCTAATTTATGAGGGAAAAACTTACCTCGACTTTAGTATGACCTTTTTCTTATAAACGATCAACTGAGCCCTGGTGGCTGTGGGGATAGAGCGTTAGTAAAATGAGGTGAACTGAGTTCGAATCCCGGCAGTAGCTGGTTGAAACGAATTCCGCACCCGGCTTGCACCAACCACAGTGCCGAGGTAAAATATTCTCGGTGGTAGATGGATCATAGGCCAGAGTCCCCTTGCCGTCAGATCAACCGTGGGAGGTTTTCGTGGTTTTCTTCTTCGTGTAACGCAAATGTGGGTTAGTTCCATCAAAAAGTCCTCCACAAAGGCAAATTTCTCCCAATACTTGGTACTGGAGTTCCCTTGTCTTCTGGATTGGGTTCAAAATTACAAGGCTACGGAACTGAACATTAGTAATCGTAAAACTGTTCAACTACAGTTGCAATTGCAAATTGAATGTAATGCAACATGTGCGCCGATCACATAAGGCAAAGTATGCATGTTTTTTTGTGAAATATTTTGTTTTGTCCTCAAATAATTCGTATTTTTTTCCTAGTCAAATGCAGTTTCTTTACTCACGAGCAACTTATTACTGCATAGCTTAAAAATATATTGTCCTCTGAATTGGGTATGAAATTACTAGGTAACGAAGCCAGGCATAAAGAGAAGCACGTAGAAAGTTTGGATCGGTTCCTGAACGGCAAAGATAAAATTAAATACCTGAGAATAGAGATGTCCAAGCCAGAGGACATCTCTTGACTAGCATAATTCATTCAATTGCCGTAATTTTGCAGTTACGAATGGCAACTAGTTGTTTACACTATTCCTATTGAACGATTCTCACTCCCATTCCAGTAGTAACTTATCCCTATTGGTTTTACTAGTAACTGATTGCTCGTCGATGAATTTTCATTCGACAGGTAATTTGACATTAAAGAGACATCAACATAGATATCTCTATAGAACACTAGCCTATGGCGCAGGTGATCCAGATGACTTATTTGTTTTCTCTCGGCCCATGATTTTGATTGACAGAATAGCGATTATACTTTATTTTTGTTGGGCTAACCGTGTAAAGTTTACACGACTGTTTTTCCGGATAAGGCACATGAGCTTTAGATTGTGAGCTATATCAGAATAGGATATTAATTTAGAATAGAACGTCGGAAAAGCATACTACCCAGAAAATCAAAAGGAATATTCTAGAAGTTCTCCATGCAAAATAGCTCGTGCCGTTACTTGATGTAAGATTTTCTTAACCTTCTTGAATTTCATTCAGAACGATAAGACTACTAGCATAAACATTAAAGCTTCATACCGGTACTTGAACAGGCTGTTCTGATAGGTAATAAAAAATTTAATCTGCACTGCTATACAAAACTGTATACAAAGACTGCTATTGTTGTTGTTCCTTATTCCACTTTATCCAGTTCATAGCTAGATCAAGTCCAGAAGACCATTCACCCACAGAAAGTCATGAACTAACACAGGATTTTCAAAGAGATCACTCTTCTCCAACTCAAAACAGTGGTCTGGAGTCGATTGGAGTGAATTGCACTTGGGGCACACAGGAAATTCCTTTTGTTCTTGCACGCATTGTGTACGAGTTTGTCCACTGATGAATCTAATAATGGTGGTCTTATTAATTTTATTAATTTTATATCATCCTCTAGCTCTAGGGCAACCTCAGGATGTTTTTGTTGGTGGTACCAGTCATGATCAGATGGAATCCTCCAGGTCCTATTGTTATCGGAATGTATTTTGAGAATATTTCACTATAGGGCAAAACCTGTTCTACTATAAAACATATTTAAAAACATATTTACCAAAAATGTACTCTGTATGAGTTATTGAATCGGCAAAAAGCAAAATCTGCAGGAAAAAAATCATATGAAATCATCATCATCAAGATTCTTTTTACTGAAGTCTGGAGCATAAGACTTTAAGTTTCGTCCTCCATTCCTTGCGGTTCAAAGCAGTCTCCCAAGCCAAGCTCCAGCTAGACCATCCCAGCTCATGTCTTTCACCCACTATGATTCTTTCGTCTCTCTAGTGTTCAGGTGAGAGCTACACGAGGAAATTAGTGGCAGGCATTTGCAGAATGGGTTCCATCCATTTCGATGTTTGATTTCCTCAGTAATGAGTCTCGTTTTCTCCTCTCGGTATAGTTGCTCGTTTAAAATTACTTAAAGCCTAAATATTTCCTTTTAATCCTACTTATAGGTAAATCCTAAGAAGGATTATTTTCTATTAAGAACTTAACAGTTACATGACGTGCTCACACTTAGTTAAATGGTAAGCAAACTTAAGTAGTTTTCTTAATTAGATATTCATTTTTTAACAGATGAAACAGGTTGTGAAGAGTCTGTTACTTATGCAGAAATGTTTGAAGAAGTCAAATTATATGCTGCAGCTTTTAGAAAACACGGATTAAAAAAGGGTGACATAGTAGCATGTAAGTGTATAAATCATTATTATTAAATAAATACAATTAATACCATGTAATTATTATAATAAATATAATCGGAAAAATACAAATAATAAAACGATGTTTGCATATAATTTGTATATGTTTTATATGCAAATAATAAACAAAGCTTTATTTCGATCGATCAACAGAATGTAAAATCTATACAGGGTGTTTTGTTGTGACTATTCTCAATATATATTTTTAGAATCCTTGTCAAAAGTGAAGTATTCACATAAAAATCGTAAATTAATCTTGATCAAAACAAAAGATCAAAAACAATCCTGAAATCTGACGAATCCTAAGCAAATCTAAACGAAATTAATCGAAATGTCAATGATGGGACTAAAAATATGAAATTTGGTTTGATAGCCAAAGTAAAGCCAAAGAAAGAGGCCAAGAAAGATAGCCAAAGAAAGAGGAATTAAAAGGCGACTGATAGAACCACCAAGTTTCATCAGTCAAAATAACTGGTTTTGCTATTTTTCTTTATCTCATTTTTTCAAGTTTTGATTTGAGAGATTTAAATGGCTTTTTTGGCACTTCTTTGCTTAAATGTTAACTTGAGCCGTGATGTCTCAAGGGATGGAGCGTTCGCCTTCCAATGAGGCGAACCGAGTTCGAATCCCAGTCGATACGAATTCCGCATCCGGCTTGCACCGACCACAGTGCTGACGTGAAATATCCTCAGTGGTAGACGGATCATGGATTAGAGTCCCCTTGCCTAACAGTGGGAGGTACTCGTGGTCTTCTTCTCCATGTAAAGCAAATGCAGGTTAGCTCCATCAAAAAGTCCCCCACGAAGGCAAATTTCTCCCAACACTTGCTCCAGGAGTTCCTTTGTCTTCTGGATTGGGTTCAAAATTACAAGGCTACGGAGTTGAACATTAGTAGTCGTAAACCCATAAAATTGGGTCGGCTGTTCAACAACGGTTATTAAAAAAATTTAACTTATGACCCCTAATATGTGTTTTCAACAAACCAAGTATTATTACGAAACGGGGAAGACTTTCATTCATGGTATGGTGATGTTGAGAAGGACTTAAAAAACATTAAAAGTTTACGACTACGAATAAAAACGCATCTAACGCATCTGTTGGAACGACCCTGGCCTTCTCTAAGTTGTAGGACCCCGAAGAAGAATGTGTTTTTTCTTGACTTCGTTTCTTGCAAATATGTTTTAAATACCGTAATTACGGTAGGGAACATCCTGTTTTTCTTGAAAAAGAAAATTAAGGAAATCCCCTTTTTACTTCTTTATAAATTGCCAAAAACCTTTAAAGGCTATACTCCGTTGCAAGTTAAGGAAAGGCAGTTGCGGTATGGCATTTAAGTAACATCCTCGACTGCATACATTTCCGTTTTATTTCATTATCAAATTATACAAATATACTTCTTTAACTAATAATATCAAACTAATAATATCTAATAAGTCAAACACATTTATATAATAATATAATATAATAAGTTAAACACATCAGGTAGAATTTTAATTCGTAGATACTATCTTCTACTATATATACAATAAAAATATTTAAAAAAAGGTTTCGAAATCTTACTGGAATCCTAGACTTGGCGACAGACTTTGTTAATAAGTAGAACACTCGTTCTCGAAAGAACAACTATGCGACGTTGCAAGATTGTTATATTATATGTATTAGATATTTGAGCCGCGATGGCTCAGGAGATGGAGCGTTGGCCTTGCAATGCGGCCAACCGGGTTCGAATCCCAGTCGATACGAATTCCACATCGGGCTTGTACCGACCACAGTGCTGACGTGAAATGTCCTCAGTGTAGACCGACCAGATGTTAGAGTCCCCTTGATGTTTGGGAAGGTTCTCGTGGTCTTCCTCACCATGTAACGCAAATGCGGGTTAGCTCCATCAAAAAGTCTTCCACGAAGCCCAATACTCTTCTCTACCAATACTCGACCCAGGAGTTCCCTTGTCTTCTGGATTGGGTTCAAAATGACGATGGTTCAACGACGGTTATAAAATTAAAAGTTGTGAAATATATTAGATATTTGTATTCCGAAAATTGACTGCCATTTCAATTTTGTATATTTTTGAAGCATATGAAGTTTTCCATCGGGTAATACCTCACAGCTTCGGTTTCTTAGGATTATTTATGTAATATTTGTTATTCTTTCATCAGTTTCTTTAAATGCGAACAGAAAGCCGTAAACAGGGTTATGCATAATTCCTTCTGTTTACTACAACCTTATGTTTACTACAACTGGCTTCAGTGGTACATGTTACTGCCATCTACCGGCAACTGGTTAAATTAAAACTTGAATACTTTCGGAATAATTTCATATGTTCTTTTTTGCCATATTCGTCTTCGTTTTTTTTACTATAACGCTTCGAAACACAGGAGGGAATTATGAATAACCCTGTATTTGTTACGATTTTTATGAATTCCTATTACTTGTTAAATCATTATTCAATAAGTTTTATTTTCTCATTTCGCAAAATTTTAAAAAGCAAGACAAAAAGAAAATTGCGCAATGTCGTTTCAAAAGTAGGCGATGTTGATGTTTGCTTGCGTTGGGAGCTATTCATCCATTTGGCGTGCACTTAAAGGCCAACAGGCTCTCTCCATAGGGATAATAATTTTTTTCTTAACTTGCAACGGAGAATAATGCAAAATATATTTTTTGTCTAACATCAATATTTTCAATAAGGAATATATATTTATTTTCAGGTTATATATCTAATAGAAAAGAAGCCGTTTTTATTTATCTTGCGGTCCTCAGTATTGGAGCTATTTTTGGTGGTCCTCAGCCTTATTTCGGTGCCCAGGTAACATGCTTTTTAAATTTTTTTTAAGACATAGTTTGTGAATATTTTGGTGGTCCTCAGCCTTATTTCGGTGCACAGGTAACATGCTTTTCAAATTTGTTTTTAAGACATAGTTTGTGAATATTTTGGTGGTCCTCAGCCTTATTTTGGTGCCCAGGTAACATGCTTTTTAAATTTGTTTTTAAGACATAGTTTGTGAATATTTTGGTGGTCCTCAGCCTTATTTCGGTGTCCAGGTAACATGTTTCTCAAATTTGTTTTTAAGACATAGTTTGTGAATATTTTGGTGGTCCTCAGCCTTATTTTGGTGCCCAGGTAACATGCGTTTCAAGTTTGTTTTTAAGACATAGTTTATTAATATAACTGAATACCATTTCCGAATGATCGCATGTTTATTTATTTCAAATTTGTAATATTCATATCATTTTATTATTTACTACCATAATTTAATAGTTTATGTTACTGCAAAGAGAAAAAAATGCTAGTAAAATTACCGTACTGTATATTAAGGACATTTTCGGGAGGAAAACGAACATAATTCTGGTAATTAAACCAAAATATACGGTATTTAAACTATTCATTCGGTCATTTTTCGCTTCACTTGCTTTATATACTCGGGTGTTTTTCTTTTTGAAGATAATACCCATATAATAATGTAATTCTGTAAAACAATTATAGTAAGAGACTGAATAAATTCATATAATAATAATAAAAGAATGTAATTCTGTAAAACAATCATAGTAAGAGACTGAATAAATTCATATAATAATAATAAAGGAATGTAATTCTGTTAAACGACTGTATTTCTTTTCAGCTGGTGATTTAGTGCCTGGGGCTAATTATTTCTGACTGACAATGTAATAACAAGTAACAAAAATAAAGGAAATGACGAATTTATTGAATGGGACAGAAAGCTTTGTGGAAATTTTAAAAATAAAAGAGGAATATTCTTTTTTGAAAAGATAGAGCATTGAATTAGAAGATAAAGACATTATTTATAAATAGTTATTACAACTCAGGTCAATTTAGTTTTTATATGTCATTCATTTTAGCACTAACCTTTTTTTTACATGCGCCTGTACAGAGAGAAAAAAATTCTGGTAAAATTATCGTACTGTATCGTAATGACATTTCTTAAAAAAACAAAAAGCAAAAACTTAATTTTGGTTATAAAAAGCAAAATATACGGTATTTAGACATTTTTTTTTTGGTAATTTTTTCATTCAAATAGTAACGGTTTACCGGAAATTCTGGTTTTCAAAATTATAGTTCTTATAACTACGCATTTAGTAAAAAATACAAATTTGAAAAATTAATTTAATTAAATTAATCGTGAAGGAATTGTTTTCATGCCACGCTCTGAGTTTTCATGATAAAGCTGCCAAATTATACACTATTCACCAAATTTTATCACATATTAAAAAACAATAATTTACAATTAATTTAACTGAAATTATTACCAGAGAGATTCGGTAAAAATTACTGAGTTTGTTTTTTTCGTTGTTCGCATAGAGCCAACACGGTTAATTTTACCATACTTTGGTAGTTTTGATAATAATTTTTTTCCCAGTCTTGTAATTATAATTACACAAAAAATTTATTTTTAGAAATTTATTATTTACAAATTTCAATTGCATTATTATTAAATTACTTTATGTTTGATGCAATTTTAGCTCAGAATTGTTAATTATTTCGCTATACTTATATTATGTTTCAGTGCATATGTAATGTGTTAATCCAAAAAAGACACCGACATATTAATTGTTTTGTGCTGTTTAAGTTCTTGCTTGTAAAGGTTTCTAAAATAATTTGATATTTTTTCAGCTCCGCGAAGATAGCCCCCGAAAATGAGGAAATTCAAAAATTCAAACTGCATTCGTTTGACCATTTTTTGACCACAAATGACCACCTTTCAAATTTTTTTGACCACCCTTATTTTGGACATAATCCTGAAAATTAAATTCGGGGTCTAACTTCGCATTTTCACGCCAAATGAATAAAAATCAAATTTTTATATTGTATTCGTTTGACCACTTTTTGACCACAAATGACCCCCCTGTAATTTTTTTTGACCACCCCTGTTTTGGACATAATCCTAAAAATTAAATTTGGGGGCTAACTCCGCATTTTTTAGAAAAATAAATAAAATTCCAATTTTTATATTGTATTCGTTTGACCACTTTTTGACCACAAATGACCACCCTTTAATTTTTTTTGACCACCCTTATTTTGGACATAATCCTAAAAATTAAATTCGGGGGCTAACTTCGCATTTTCATGCCAGATGAATAAAAATCAAATTTTTATATTGTATTCGTATTTTTATATTGTATTACATTGTACACTTATTTCTTCCTCTTGTATTTCAGCAAGCATCGAATATTATACAAAAGCTGAAACCAAAATTTTTGATTGCAATCGACCATCATACAGATGACGGGGTTGAGTTTCACAACATTGAAAGCTTACCGAAAATTTCTAAAGGTCTGTAATATGATTTTCAATTTAACCATTGGGTTAAATAAAAATCAATTCATTTTTTCCAAATTTTTCAAACCCATATATTTAATTAAATGTTAAAAGTCAATGAATGATATACGTTCCCCTTTGATAAATAACTTTTTGTCATCTTTCGGCTCATAATGTCTGGTTCGTAGAAAGACCAGACTTTATTTGCAAAAAATTAAACAAGTGCTGATTTACAGCCTCATCTGAATTCAACTTTATTTCATGCTAGGAGTTTTGTAAAGATAAAAACAAGTGGGAGACTATAGCGCCCTGTCAGGTGAGTATACTGAGTGAAACAACACATCCCTCCCAAGCTACTGTAATTCTTAATGGGTTGCCAAAGATATGTGCGGCCTGGCGTTGTTGTATAGAAACACTAATCCCTTACTATTGACCAGTTCTGGACATTTCTTGATGACAGCTTCATTCATACTTCCCAATTGTCTACAGTACATTCGAATTTATTGTACTATTCGTTTGATAAAACTAAAAAGAAGAACACTATTTATCTCACCATACTGCGAGTATTGAGAAATAATTAACCTGTTAAGTTTTTGAACTTGCTGTCACAGCAAACTTGTTGAATCCTAAAGTTTAGTTCACTTCTATTGGTCCTCCATTACAAACTCATCACTTTGCGAACTCAAGATGAACCTACTGAGATTTGATCCTACTGTCACATCAAACTTGCTGGATCTGCAATTTTGGTTCACACTCATATTGCATATTGCGGCTTCCCATTGAATGATCTCAAATAATGTCTTCATTTGTGAAAGAGTCTTGTACCTCCCAAATGTACACAGTCTACACTCTCAGAAATATAACTCGCACTTTTGGGGATTCAACAATCCTTGAGCGTTCATTTTGAGAATCATTTCGTAACAGGATCACGTGAATTGTGACGAAACGTGAACTCTCAAACAAGAGACGAAAATGTTTACTCAACTAGAAACTTCATCGCAGAGCATTATAGGAGATTAAAAACTAGAATGACGAAACTGGAATAAAGACGATCACTAAATAAAGTGGTGAATTAAGCCAACAGGTACGATATTATACTTTTATTTACGTCACACTACAACTGCACGATGGGCTATTGACAAGGGTCTGGGATCCGAAGGTAACATTCATACGTCACGTTCCGTTTTACAGTTTGGACACTTTCACACACCATCCATCTATACGTTGATCGTAATTTTGACATGAACCAGAGCACGATTAATCTCCGATCCAGTACCCCCAGAGGTTCTGATTTGTTCTGGGAACATGGTGCACTTTGGGACTCCGACAAATCATAAGCCGAAAAGTCTACCTGGTAGTCAAGAAGGTACCTTCGTACCCGGATGATCCTGGATTCGAATCCCGCTTCCGGCATGGATGTAGTATATCTTTCTGTTTTATCCGTCCTTGCGTTGTTGGGGTGAGTTTAGGCCCAGGATAAAGTGATTATTCGAGAAATTAGTGCATTAGGCACTACGAGTTTTTTTCTTCTTTTTTTTATTTATTTATTTTTGGAAAAAATAAAATGAAGAAATATTTCGTCACTTTGACAAAATTTTTGCACGGACCAAGAAACTGTTCCTTAAAAATTGGTATAGTTATTTAAGTTATGGCATATGATGCTAAAAAGAAAGTAATTGTTGTAAAAAATAGAGAAGTCTCCTGATATTTGACTTTCCATTTTTTTAATAATGTAATGGTTATTTTAATGAACCTAGTGGATGTGAAACTCTCATCTCTTCAGTCTTCAATATTTAATTCTATAAATGTTTCATAAGTTTTCTAATTTTATTGTAGATACGCCTTCTCTTGAAAAAGTCATTATTATTCCAACAAGGGCTGAAACGTATCAGATGGATATTTCTAACATATCCAATAGGTTTGTAAACATGTGATTTATTCGTACAAAGCTCTTACGGACGCTATACCACGAGGGAAATTTTCATTACAATTCCTGTCTTACTTCTATAACTAAATTAAAATTAAAAGTAAAGAAAAACTGAGTTCAGACAAACCTGAAGTAAGTTATTAATTTTCAATTAGGGAAAATAAATTAAGAATATCAAAACATAAACAAATTATTCCAAGAGAACTTCCCCATTACCTAATCCTTGTATGATTTCCTTTTGATACTTTAAAAAATTCTTTTCAGTGCTTGAAACTTCGTGGCTTAATCTGGGTTTGCCTGAACTCCCTTTTTCGATACTTTAAATTTTAAATTACTTATGGAGACGATGAAGAATTTGCGATTAAAAGTTTCTCCCGTGATATAGCGTTCTCTTAACTAGATAAAGAATTATTTCAACTATTTTATTAAATGGTTAATTATATTTCTTGTCATAATAAATATGGTAAAAATAAGTTTTAAAAATTTCTATGGAAACTGCAACGCATGCATTTAACATTTAAGTGTGCATTTAACGAAAATGCATTGAAAAATGCATTTTAAATGCATTTAACAAATTTATTTAACATTTAAGAATAATTCGTTAAACATCGTAGTTTTGCGCACATGCTATTCGCTGACATAGCATGTATGTAAATTAGCATTAAAGTTTAAATCAAGAATAGCCATAGGATTTATATCACCAATAAAGAGGAGAGTTTTACGTCAAACAACTTTGGATCTTGTATAAAATAATAATCATATAATTAAAAATAACTGAAAGATATATGTGCTTAATAAATAACAGTATATCTTCAAAAAACTAATGGAAAAATAAATTAAATTCACTAAAAAGTGTTAAAATGCTTCAGAAAATTTCTATGTCTAAATTATTATTTTAAGAGTGAAAATGTTTAAAAGTAAACTAATTTATAAAACAAATGAGATAAACTTCGTAAAATAAGTAAACTTAAAATTGGACAGCAACGGTGTAGATCCTTATAAGATTTTAAACGTATCCCTGCCTTTCACACTGATAAAAATTCATTTAAATTATGATTCTTTTTTCAATTATTCCTTAGGTTCTAACATTATACTTTTCTAGCATTTTAACCAATTTTTAAACAAATTGTAAGCTTATTTCAAATATTTTCGATATTCTCCAAACAGAAATATTCTCTATATTTTCAAATATTTTCTAAACAGAAAGGTTTTAAATTTATCATTAAAATTTTTGGAAAAATTACTTCTGAGATTATTTTTAAAAAATTATTTGACACTTATTTTTCGAAGTATGTTTCTATGAAACAGTTCGAATTTTATTTCAATTGATTATTAATATGGTTAATATTTACAAAAAGCATTTGGTTTTCTTAGAAAGTATCGTAAAAATCACTTTTCTATATTTTTTTTCAGTTGTTTCTTACACGAATTTTTATTAAGTGGTATAGGCCTTAATGGTGCAATACCAGACATCCAGTTTGAACAACTTCCATTTAGCCATCCTGTCAGTATCAATTTCACGTCAGGTACAACAGGACTTCCAAAAGGTCCAGTGCATTGTGCAGGGGTATGTTGTTTAATTGGACATAAGTAAAACTGAAATATCAAGCATCTTTGAACTAAATACTAATTCAAAAATAATCAGTATTTCGCTAAAAAAAATTTTCAATCGTTTTATGTTTTTAAATGTAAACTTATCCCCCAAGGTACTAGGAAGGATAAGTGTACAATTACCTTTTTCCAAACTTTTAAACAAACATGGTACTCAATGGTGCGCCGTAATCACTACCTTGGATATATGTTCTTAGAATCCTTCTCAAAAATAAAGTCAAATCACCTAATAATATTTATGCGAGGGAAAAAACAGAAATTTTTTCAAAATTTTGGGAATTCGGCGAATTTTGAAATAAAATAGAATGAGGAAATATTTCTTTAATTTTGACGAAATTCGTTTCCTCGAAAAGTGACAATAGTTATTTAGTCACTTTGACGAAATTTTTGCTTCGAGCATACATTAGGAAACAGTTTCGTCAAAAAGTTTCGTGAAATTTGAGCATCCATTTTTTACAGCGAGCTTTACATATTATTTGAACGGTTGCTTATTTCTTCACTAGTTGAATTAAAAAGTTCCCCATTATCTTATTTCACTATCGGTTGAATTATTTCTAACTTTTGAGAAAAATGATTTTTTTAGTGAAATTTTCTCATCCATTCTAGACTATTAACTTTAATGTTACATTATAATTTTAGTCATTGGTTTCTCAATTGCTGAACTATGTGTTTTATTGGAATTTGAAGCCAGGTGATGTGGTTTTTTCATGCTATCCAGTAAGCTATTGATCAATAATTCTTTGATTATCACTTATTTATTTTTGAGTAATAATAATAATAAAGTGTAAAAAATTCTAAATTGTTGTATATAATCAACTAATCAAAATATCTACTAACTGGTGTTAATTTTTTGTAATCACTTATTTGTTCATTTTTGAATAATAATAATGATAATAAAGTGCAAAAAAAATCTAAATTGTTGTACATAATCAACTAATCAAAATATCTAGTAACTGATGATAATTTTTTTGTTAAGGTCGGATGGACACTTTTTAATATTTATGCAAGCTGTTTTGCTAGTGGTGTGACGTTGTTTCTTTTTGCTGGAAGCCCCTATCATACAAAAAATGGTCGCAACATGTGGGATCTATTTGCCCGCTACAAAGTTTCCACTGCCTGGTTAATAACATCTATGGTGGACAAGCTTGAGAAGCTTGGTGCAAAACCAAGTAAGTTATGTTGTGCATAATCCTGTGAAGCTTATAATCCTTATGCATAATCCTGTAATCTGTAAAACAAACTTATCCTGCTACCAGTCACTATCTAGTGACTCCATTTCCCTGAATTTGAATCAAATTTCAAAATATCATCTTAATCGTAGTTTTGGAACGAAAATTATGAAACAAATTATTTTAGTTGTTCTTTATCAAGAACTTTTCGACAAAAATCGATCACATGACAGCGACGAGTTTTCTTTTTTATGGGTCGTTTTCAATTGGAATGAATTTAATGAATATAAGCATTTTTTTTTAATAAAAAGGGTTATGACACGGGTTCGAATCCCTGTGAAGGCTGGTCGATACGCCCCCATTCTGCTGCCGCCTCGCATCGATCACAGTGCTAACGTAAAATATCCTCATTGGTAGACGAATCATGGGTTAGAGTCCCCTTGCCATCAGGCTAACCATTGGTTGTTTTCGTGGTTTTCTTCTCCGTGTAACTCAAATACGAGTTAGTTCCATCAAAAAGTCATTTGCGAAGGCAACAGTTTCTTCCAATACTTGATCCAGGAGTTCCCTTATCTTTGGTATTGCGTTCAAATTTTGCAAATCTACTGTTCAATATCGGTAATAAAATAAAATAAAATAAGTAAAACAAGTTAATAAAGTTTTCCACCCAACCCATCAACTTAATCCGATACCTTCTATGCCTGTCCTTCTGCAGTATTGTAGAAAATTTCAACTTAAAAATCTAAAAAAATAATAATAAATAAACCCAATTTTGAGTTTATGACTACCAATGTTCAACTCCGTAGCCTTGCAATTCTGAACCCAATCCAGAAGACAAGGGAACTCTTGGATCAAATATTGAGAGAAAATTTGCCTTCGTAGAGGACTTTTGATGGAACTCCCCCCCCCCCCATTTGCGTTAATGAAAAAGAAAATCACGAATACCTCCCACGGTTCACCTGACCACAAGAGGGTTCTAACGCATGATCCGTTGACCACTGAGGATATTTTACGTCAGCACTGTGGTCAATGCGAGCAGGGTGCGGAATTCATGTCAACCAGTCATCGCTGGGGTTCGAATCCGGTTCATCTATTGAGGGGCGAGCGCTCTATCCCCTACACTACCACGGTTCTAAAAATAATGCATTGTAAGAATCCAAAACACTTTCATAATTAAATGCTTTTTTAATCATGAAACTATTTTACGATTCATAAAGTGGCGTACAGACTTGTCAATTTTTATGCACAAATTATTTTGTATCAAAATGACAATCTTCATTTTTCAGGTCCAGATTCAAATTTGGAACATTTAAAATCCTTAACCATAGGAGGAAGTCCAGTAAAGAAGGGAAATATTTCCTACCTCAAAAACAATGTGAAGGAAGATATGTTTGTAGGAAGTCAATTTGGAAAGTACCAGCATCAAAAACAATTTTAATTAATTAATAATCCAATTTTTTTACTAGATTTTTATTTGTATTTTTAGATTACAAAACAGCTATTCGAATGATAATATATATATAGTATGTTCTGTAGTTACTGCCCTTAATATATGCTTTTAGACCCTTTATTTTCATAAATGTTAACAAGTTAATATTAAGATTAGAAAAAGTTTATCAAATTATGACTAGTTATTATCGAGATTGATCAGTGTGATGAAGGGATTAAAATAGTTTAAAAAAAGTTTATCTCTTTGAAATTATCCTGCTAGAACATTTGCATCAGTAAACGAGAAAGCGAATATGTATGTATTCAATAATCGTTTAAACGTGAGAGTGAAGTGCCATATTGTTTTTTATTTAAAAAAAAATCAGAAATAAAATTTATTTATTCTGTTTTGATAAAAAAAAAATTTGTTTTGTCACAGTTTAAATTGCGTGTTCAAAATGTGTCTCAGAATAAAGAAGATCAGAAATTCGAAAGTAATAAAGATATTCAAAATTACATTTGCTTACATATAATTTTTAAATTTTATGTTTGTCCCACATTTATTTGCATATTTACACTCTCAAGTAAAAAAGAAATTAATCAGGACTCAATGACTATAAGTATTAATGAATTTAATTAATTTTAAAAAGTATTATCTGTTCATGTCCTATTTTGTTAAAAAAGAATATTTTGCCACTAAAGTTAAGATTAATAGCAAAGCAAAAAAGAAAAAAAATGAAGAGAAAATTTATTTAAAAATTTGAATTCATAAATTTTGCACCAATGATTTTTATTTTGAAATTTTGAATTTTTAAAATTTGAAAATTTGAATTGATGAAAAAATTGTACCTTAACTACAATGAATGATTTCAAAATCCCATAATGAATTCATTAATCTTACAGAGCAAAATATTCATTTGGACCTTTTTTAAAATGGAATTAATTTCAATATTTCTCAAGTACAATGCTTCATTCCTTAACTACAATGAATGATTTTAATTACCCTATTGAATTCATTAATATTACAGAAGCAAAAGAATCATTTGGACCTTTTTAGAATGGAATTAATTTCAATATTTCTTAACTACACTGCTTCATTCCTTAACTACAATCAATGATTTTAATTTCCCTATTGAATTCATTAATATTACAGAAGCAAAAGAATCATTTGGACCTTTTTAGAATGGAATTAATTTCAATATTTCTTAAGTACAATGCTTCATTCTTTAACTACAATGAATAATTTTAATTACCCTATTGAATTTATTAATCTTACAGGAGCAACAGAATCATTTGGATCGTTTTCCGGAATTGACATCAATCTTCCATCGTATGCAGGAGAACTGCAAGTTCCTAGTTTAGGAATGGACATTAGATGTGTCAACAGTAGGGGTAGGATTTTTAATTTATCTTTAATTTAAACTTTAGAAAAACTAATCAATTCAAACTGAGCAAAAAAAGCATGATCCAAACTACCAGAATATGGTAAAATTTACCATGTTTATAGCAACAAAAAGCTCTATAGCTTTAATCAAACTGCTTTCGTAATGATTTTGGTAAAATTAACAATAAAATGGGGTTTATAATGTACGATAAAACTTGGTAAAAATGGTAAAATTTGGTAAATTTTTCGTGATACCTTAAATGATGGCATAAAAACTATTTATTCGATTAAATTCTTTACATAACTGGTCTTTTTATCTCCAAACACTCGTTAAAAATAATTGAAATTAGCATTTTTCAAAAAAAAAATTTAAAAGCATTGATCTTATTTAGCGATGAAAACTATCACCGTCTTCAAAACAGCTGTGGTTGACGAACAATAACACTGGAGAAAAAAATTTCTGTTCTAATTCGGTTGTGAGTATTTCAAATCTGAAATTAGTTTCTTTTCCCAAAAACTACAGATTTTTTCCAGAATGGTATTTTTAGTTTAGTTTATTTGTTATCTTATTCTGCAAGTTTATTGCATGCATATAGGTTTATACACATACATAAACACTTGTCAGTTGCTTTGAAAATAAGACCTAAGCCAAAAAAAAGATATGACCTCAACGTATAGCGTCATAAACTGAAATGTATTATCGCCTTTTTCATACCATGTCTAACGTAACACAGAAGTGGAGCAGTTAGTATTGTTCCGAGGACAGTGGTTCGCTTCAATTGGAGATCGACAACAGTCCTTAAGACTATTAGCAGAATCTTCTAGAAAATACAGCTATTCCAAGCGCTCAATTACAGCTAAAAATAACAACGTTATTACATCAGAACACAACTTTGAAACCTCAGACGGTTTAGACGGTCCTATTGCTTTAGAATTCGAATTTTCCAGAGCTACCATTTTGACACCAAAATGATCGCCAACTGGCTAAGGTTATCACCATATATTGAATTGCATAAATACTGTAGCTGGTCGAGAGAAAAATTCCTAGCAGAATTTTAAATCAGCGACGTGCAATTATCTAAGATCCGTTCGAAATTTTCAAGCTACAGAAAAGAAGAGAAGAAAAAAGGGAAAAAAACAAACTGTTTCTTTCCAACACAGAAAAAAATTTACGAGTCCCAATCAAGGACTGACTGTTTAATTAGGACAATTGAAGAAGCAATTCAACAGAGAACGAAACAAACTCATTCAAAAAACTTGGAGAAGCGTAAAAATTAGATTTGCACATCCTAAAGAAGAGAGTCAGTTTGTTTGATCAAGACATTAAAAGGAGAATTTCAACAGGATATTTAAACAAAAAATGAAAAATCAGAAAGGTGTAAGAAGAGGGTGAATTAAAAATAAATTAACCCTATTCCGTTACCCTTAAGTGCAAAGTGCTTCCTTTGAAAAATTAACTAAAAAAGCAACTATTAGTCTCGAAATAATTGTTTGCAAAGATTCTGTAATAAAGCCATTATTATTGTTGTTGTTGTTATTATTTGGTTATCTAAATATTTGGATAGGTGGTTTATTTAGTATACTAATATTTTTTTAATAATTTTTTGAAGGTGAAAACGTTGTTGGTGAAAGAGGTGAATTAGTAATAGCAACACCAACCCCATCATTGCCAATTCATATATTTGAAGATTACGACAAGAGTATTATGAAGGAAACTTATCTTTCCAAATACCCTGGTAAACAATTTTTCTGTTAATTTGGAATATTAAAAGGCACTTATGAGTGTCAAAGGCAAAACCTAGCTAATGAAGTGTGCTACTTCATATCTGTACTAGTATATCATTTATATCCCTTACAATTACATATTCATCATATTCATCACATTTTTAATAGTCAAAATATTAATATATTTTACAAGTATAAATAACTGAGAACAATGATAACGCATAAAATTTGATTTTGTAATGCTACGTCAAATAAAATAACATAATCTCTCTCTATTTACATTCCTTGGTGAATTTAATCAATTTTTAATATGAACTTGGTTCGTTCACTTATTTTATCATTCATTTTTCTTAGAGTAAGTTTGTTATTGTGCCACTCAACGCAACTAAGAACTTTGACAACGGTTTGACGGCTAAGGAAAATGCTTAATTTGGCTTGAATGCTTTCAAATATAGCTAAATATTTCACATGAAAATATGTTACTATGTTCTGAATGACGCAAACATTAAAATCGTGTGAGATTTCACCGCATTCTCCCTTTGAGAATATAAATATAAATTAATGGGATTGAGTTTCTGAATCTGCAACAGCGACAAAAATTGAACCCCATTCAATTCTTGAAACCAGTACGACGGCGATCGCTGGTTGTTGCAACCGAGGGAAGAGGAAAGAAATGCACATGCGTTAACTCACGGCAAATGCGATTTGTTGCAGTTGCAGTCGGTATGAAGGCCCTTTAGGTAGATACATTTTCAGACACAAACTATTTTGTGTAGCAATTTTTTCCAAGCGTCGGCTTCTTGCTTGATACCTAGATGTATGATGAGCAATGTTTTATTGTTGCACATCGAACGTTGACTGCTGCGATGTGAATACTGTTGCATTAATATTAACGAAAGGATTATTATGCACCAACTGCTTCCAAACATCGGTTTCTTTCTTGATGCTAATAAGTACAACATGCCTTGATTTTTTATTACATAATGAACATTGACTTTTGCAGGGTAAAAACTGCTCCGTTAACTGTAACGAAAGATTCAATGAGCACCAACATAGGATTCGAAACATAGGATTCTGGCTTCATGCCAAGATGTAAAATGTGCGATGTTTTATTTTGCGTAATGAACAGTAACGGTTGCGATATGAATGCTACTTTGCGAAATGTTACGAAAGATTTAACGTGCACCGATTGCTTCGAAGCATCGAGTTCCGGCTCGATGCCAAGATGTAAAGTGTGCGATGTCTTATTGTTGTATAATGAACAGTAACTGTTGCAATTTGAATACCGCTGCGTTAAATATAACGAAAGATTCAACGTGCACCCAATTGCTTTCACACATCGACTTCTTTCTGAAGTCGATGTAGTATTTGCCAAGATGTAAAGCACTGATTTTCAACGGGGGCGGTGAACATATGCTGAGGGGCGGTGAACTTGTTTTGAGCAGTAGAGGGGCGGTAGGTATGTTTTGGGCGGTAGGGGGGCGATGAGCATTCAAATTCCTTCTTAAAACTTCTAAATAAAATTATTAAATTAAAATTAATTTAATAAATAAAGTAAATCAAAAATTAATATTAATGAAAAATAATTAAATTAATATAATAAATTAAAATTATCCGATGCACCATTTGTACCAGCAGTAAAACGAACTTATGTGACAACTATTCTCCAATCCGAACAGTCGCAGGGCATGAGTGAGTTGTTTTTGCTTCTGACTTATTCAAGCCATTTGGCGAAAATTGAAGTGCGTGCGCTTTCAGTATGAATGTTTGATTTGATCCGTGTTTCTTATGATGGTTTTCGTTCGCTCCCTTTCAATTTTTTCTCCAATTTTGATTCAATTTCATTGATTATTTGACCAGGTACTTGAGCGAATTTGTTCTTCAGCGTAAATTATCTATTGATTTTAAGATATAGTTTATTTTCTTTCCTCGTTTGTATTTTGCTGCTGCCTACAATATTGGTTAATAAAAAAAGTGTCGTCAATACAGTGCCACGTACTTGAAGTTCGGATTCGGAACGATACAGTGTTGCACCGGATTGATGAGATGGCTGAAGACATTAGAGTTTACTTATGCAAACTTTTGATGTCCAACGTATTTTCCTTCAAGTTAATGAGTCAACCTTGCCAAGTGATAAAGCTTTACTGTTGGCGCACTTCCGATTTATGAATGAATGAAAAATTATTCAAGAGATGCTTTTTGCAAAAAACCTGACTGAAGATACCGAAGGTAAATCTATTTTTAATAATGTCAAAGATTATTTTATAGAGAAAAACATCCCTCCTTCGAATATTGTGTCTATTGCCACTGATGGAGCTACTGCAATGGTTGGTTGACATTGTAGGTTTAACCCCATTTTGAAGAAAGAGGTACCCCTCCCAAGACAAAGATACCTAGAAAACTCCTCCCATAATTGATGGCCAAGCACCAGATATTTTAGCTGTCCACTGCGTGATTCACAGACAACATTTAGTTGGAAAAAATCCCAGAGACCATTTGCATCAGTCATTGCAATATGTCGATCTCTGCTGTGATGAAAATTCGCAGTAACACTCTCAACGATTGATTCTTCAGAGAGCTGTGGAAGAAAAACGATGAAAAATTCAATCGCTTGCTACTACACACTGAGATTCGCCAGCTTTCCAAAANACATTAGAGTTTACTTATGCAAACTTTTGATGTCCAACGTATTTCCCTTCAAGTTAATGAGTCAACCTTGCCAAGTGATAAGGCTTTACTGTTGGTGCACTTCCGATTTATGAATGAATGAAAAATTATTCAAGAGATGCTTTTTGCAAAAAACCTGATTTAAGATACCGAAGGTAAATCTATTTTTAATACTGTCAAAGATTATTTCATAGAGAAAAACATTCCTCCTTCGAATATTGTGTCTATTGCCACTGATGGAGCTACTGCAATGGTTGGTTGACATTGTAGGTTTAACCCCATTTTGAAGAAAGAGGTACCCCTCCCAAGACAAAGATACCTAGAAAACTCCTCCCATAATTGATGGCCAAGCACCAGATATTTTAGCTGTCCACTGCGTGATTCACAGACAACATTTAGTTGGAAAAAATCCCAGAGACCATTTGCATCAGTCATTGCAATATGTCGATCTCTGCTGTGATGAAAATTCGCAGTAACACTCTCAACGATTGATTCTTCAGAGAGCTGTGGAAGAAAAACGATGAAAAATTCAATCGCTTGCTACTACACACTGAGATTCGCCAGCTTTCCAAAAACGCCTGTTTCAATAGGTTTTGGAATATTTTCGACTCTGTGCCTGAGTTCCTTGAATACATCGCGGATTTATTTGTAAAATTTAATGGTGTTAATTTACAATTTCAAGGCGACGAGCTCAATTTGATCACTAAAAAATCAGCTATTTCTGCCTTTCTAAGAAAACTCATTTTGTGGAAGCAGAATTTTGGTAGGAATAAGTTTAGCCAATTTCCAATCTTATCGGAATAGAGAATGGTGAAATTTTCTCTGATGATACACAAGAATATTGTAATAACCTCGAGTCTTTGTACATTGAATTTTCTGACATTTAAAGATGCTTTGTCCCTGGAAGTCCCTTAATGGTTACGAACCCTTTTGTGAATATTGAAACAACAGAGGTTCAGATTCAGAAGAAATTGGTAGAACTTTCAACTAATGAAGCTTTGAAATAGTAATCGTCTTACAGAATTTTGGCTTCAAGGTGGCATTTAATAGCTTTCCCTTCCTTCTACTTTGTGGAACGAAGATTCAGTGATCTGACGTATCTAGTCACAAACAGTTGTCTGAAAATTGTGTAAAGAGGGGACTTGCGTCTTCACCTCATTGAAAATATTGAACCGAACGTTAAGTAACTGGCCCTGAACCATGCACTTTCATCTCACTGACATAGTTACTTGATTGTTTCGTTGATACTACTTTTTAGAATAAGTTTTTTAACTATCTTATTAAGAATAAATGACTCTTATTAAGCATAGGTGTCTCAGGTGTATTTTTTCATTACTGTAATTATTTTGATTATAACAAATAGATTGCAATTACTTGCCTTAAAAATGTTGCCTCTTTTAATTCAGCACACATCCCTCCCTCCCCATGCTCTAAATAACTGGATTTTCACAAAGGGGGGCGTTGAGATTTTTTCTGACTCTTAGGGGGGCGGCAACGTAAAAAAGGGTGAGAATCTATGATGTAAAGTATGCAATGTTTTATTGTTGCGTAATGAGCGTTAACTGATGCGTTGTGAATATTGCTGCTTAGTAAACGTTAACTGTTGCATTAACTGATACAAAAGGTTTAATGTTTCCAAACACCGACATCTTACCTCATAACGAATAATATGCATTGCTTTATTGTTGTGTAAAGAACGCTAATTGTTGTGATATGAATAGGTATCTCATAATCAAACACACTTCGTGTTTTCTCTCTTTCTTACTCTCTTTTTCTCTTACGAATTAAATTAATTAAAAATATGAATTAAAATTTACAAGAATAGAAATATAAAATTTTACACTAAGTTCGATATTAATTGTAGCGTAACGAAAGTTTGTTGTAGCGATATGAAAGCGTGTTTCGTGTTAAAATGCAGTTCATATTTTTATTTTATTTTTCAGGTTTCTGGTGTCAGCATGATGAAATATACATAAATCCCAAAACTAAAGGACTTATTGTGATTGGCAGAAGGTATTGATTTTAAGTTTCAAAATTGAATCCAAACTTCTCCCTAGTTAAAATTTCAAATGAAATATTCGATGAAGAAAAATTAACCATCCCAATTTTTTTTTACCTTAAAAAACATGACTTCTCAAATAATTTAACTAAAATATGAAAAATGAAAAAAATTACACATTACATGCGAAATTTTATAAATGGAATTTACTTTAATTAAGGCTCGTCATTCGTTTCAATATCTAGACGAAAGTTTCAATAAACTAACTTTGACAAATTGATAGTTTTTGAGACATTTACGCACCGATTTCTATACTACAATCTGTCAACTGAGAAGATATCTAGAACTTAGATATATTGCCGTAAACTGGGGTAACTAGTCATCATCTAAAAAGAATTTATATCGGAAACATCAGTTACACATTAGAAGTTACGCATTAACGATTGTCCATTAAATATTTAAGAGTCCAAAAAAAAAAAAGGATTATTGATTGTAATGATGAAAAATACTTAAATGAGCAACCATCAGCCTCAATACAGGATTCACATTGGAGGTGATGTGAATCAGTCATACGTTGGAAGATTCCTGACGTTTCTAAGCCCTGAAGGTGCAACCCAAATTATTTGTTAGACAATATTCACTGGGTGACAATGTGATTCTATGCGAAGCTTTTTAAATGGCTTCAGAGAAAAAAAATCAGGCAGAACAGATTGACAGATGTGGAAAGCACAGAAATGGCCCGCTTCTACCAATCCACCTACTCGAAAAAGCAATATGGGGGTAGTTTCATCAAAAACGTACCTTCGCAGTAAAGTGCAAGAAAAAAAAATTTTAAAAAAAGCGCTCGCCTTGATTAATTTTGATCAAATAATCGAATCCTCGCGTTCTAGGACTCAATCTTAATAGTTCGAAAGGGCTAATATGCTAATTAATTTTTGCACACCATATTTTAAGTTACCAAATCAGACACAAAAACGTACTGTCTCTAAATAAACATATCTTTTTTTCGATGGATTCGATTTTCTGACCTCCAAAATAAGGGGGGTAGCCGCAATCTCGGAAATATGGTCCCCATCGTTTGGTCAGGAAAGCGATCCAAAGTTTGGACCCCTTAATGTTAATTTTACTTCTTGCGTATTTCGTCATATGTCGAGAACTTTTTAAGCGAAGTTGAAAAAAATTTTGCATACGATTATAAAATTCGTTTATCTAGAGATAATTCCATGCAAAAAATAAATGTTAGTAAATGTTTATTATTAGTTTCTTTATTATATTATATAATAATTTTCGAAAAAAAATTTTAGTGAAAGGTATACAATTTTTACATTGTTTTAAAAAATTTAATATTGCATGGCAAAATCCAAAATTTGATCGGTTGAATAATTTCGAAGAAATCGAATTTTAAAAAAGTCGGTCATTAAAAGAATTCAATTTCTGAGAAACTATTTATCCGATTTTGTTCAAATTTAGTATTTTTCCATTTGAAATTGCATTCTTTAAAATGATGCAAAAAATTGCATGCGATGCAATTCAAAATTGTTTCGACTATTATTTAATACAATAATAAAAAGAAAGAAATATTTACCAAAATTTATTTTTTGCATGGAATTATGTTTGAATAAATAAATTTTATAATCGTGTGCAAAAATTTTTGAATTCATTTAAGAAGTTATCAAGATATTGCAAATTGCGCAAAAAGTGAAATATACGTTAAGGGGTCCACACTTTGGATCGCTTTCCTTACAAAACTATGGGGACCATATTTCCCAGGAGGCGGCTACCTTCTTAATATTGGGGGTCAGAAATCCAAATCTATCAAAAAACAGATATGTTTATTCAGACAAAGTACATTTTTGTGTCTGATTTAGTAACTTAAAGTATCGTCACTAATTAATTAACATATCACCTCATTAAGATTGAGTTCTGGAACGTGAAGATCCGATAATTAGATCAAAAGTTATTCAGAGTGGTCAGTTGTTTTCTTGCGCACTGTACATCCTTTGCTTTTGATACCCACAGCATTGTGGGGTGAATGTTGTTTGTTGTGGCATTTTCTATGACGCTTTACAGTTTTGTTTTGTTGCATCCTACATAACGTATACATTTCAAACAATGTTCTCACATGTACCCACAATCAAATAACGTAAACATTTCATAGTGGTGTTCTATAAATAATGTTATGTCTATTTCTATAGTGATGATACTCTGAAGCAAAATGGAGAGCGTTTTGGAGCTGGTGATGTCTATTCTGCAAGTAAGTGTCAAGAGATGAACAGGATTGTGTCGGACTTCTATTTAATGAGCTACCATTTTGCGAATTTCTCTATTTTGCGAATTTTTTCGAGGAACCAAGAACCTTTTGGAAATTTCTTCGTAAGGTGTATCAATTGCTATTTTAATTATGCCTAGTGTTTATGAATTTAAAACCTGTTTTGTGTTGTTTAAGTATTTCAAAAGAAGATTTTCTATTTAACGAAATTTCCATATAACGAACTTGATATCGGGATTTAGCAACTTCGTTATATAGAGGTCTGACTTTTGTTCGCAAAGTTAGATTTTTGGTAGGTTGGGCATTGAAGAGATCTGAATATAACGGATTGAGTTACAAAAAATGTTAGTCACTGGGAGCAAAAAAAAACGGACCACTCTGGATTACTTTTGATCTGATGATCGAATCTTCACATGTTAGGACTGAATCTTAATAGTTCGAGAGAGTGACATCAAATATGCTCATTGATGAATGCAGACAATATTTTTAAAAAATCAAATACTAAAAATTTGATCTCTTAGGAAATATTCGACTGCTTTCGCTCAGGTTTTGTATTTTGCCGTGTGAAATTACATTCTTAAAAATAATTAATAATATGCACTAATTAATTAATATATTTGAGGTCACTCCCTCGAACCCTTAAGACTGATTCCTAGGACACATAGATCCGATCATTAAATCAAAAGTTATTCAGAGTAGTCCGTCTTTTTATTTTACCCACTGTACTTAAATTATAAGAGACATCTGAATCAAATATCTGAATGAAGGCAACGAAAACATACAGAAATAGCTTATCGGAAGTGTCTTGGACAACCTACACGTATTTGAGTACTAGTACAAAGCTGTTGGGATTTTTATACCACACACCATATTCACAAAGCCTTATGCCCTTAAATTTCCTGTTATTTCGACCATCAAATGATTCATTTAATGTGAAAAATAATTTTTCTGTTGGTAAAAAAATTGGCACAAAAAGTTTTTCACCAAGAGAGTATAAATATAAGATAGTTTTTCTAAAAGAAAGAATTTTAAATTTGCCGAAAAGATGTAGAACGTTATAGAATACGTCATACCGAAAAATTTTTAATTTAATTAATTGAACCATAATTTAAAAAATATCCTTAATGGGAAAGGTGACTCCTTGGCCAAAGTAAAAACCCATAGAGAATTTTTTTTACCAAAAATCAAAAAGTTTTTGAAAATACAAAATTATTAAACTCCCATAAGTATATGAAACGGAATAGTACTTACATACTTTTAGAAAGATATACAACAATTCAAATTTTTTTTTTTTTCAAAATCAGTTTGAACTTTCTGGAGAACCTACGAGTTACTCACCAATAATTTCATAGACTATAATGCATTTCATATATCAATTATTTCTTTTCATCAACAGTTCATGACATGGAGGAGATTCGTGATTACATATGCGTGGGTCAAACAAGAGATTCAGATGGAGAACACAGGGCAGTTCTCTTCATCCAAATGAAGGATGGATACACTTTCACTCCTGAATTCAAAAAGAAAGTGGAACAGAAAATATTTGATGAACTGTGGGTCGACTGCGTTCCACAAGTCATTCTTCAAATTCCCGAAATACCTGTAAGAATATTATCTATTATTTTTAAACAATTCATCAAACACTCAAAAAAATATTCTTAGATAAAGCTTATATGTTTTATAAAATATAAAAAGTATTATTGCATATTTACCACGTCTTCCTAAAGTTTTGAAAGATTATAAGTTATGCTATCTCTAGCTTTCGTCTGATTTTAAAACATTCTTTTTAACGAGATATTTCATGCTAGAGTTATTGAAACTGCGTATTGTTCCTAATAGAGCAATTCCAAAGCCGTGGTGGTTCGCCCTCCGATGACGTGAGCCGGATAGGAGTCCTAGCGTAGTTTTTATTTTATTTTATTTTATAACCTTTGTTGAACAGCCGACCCAATTTTTGGGGTTTACGACTAATAATGTTCAACTCAGTAGCCTTGTAATTTTGAACCCTATCCGGAGGACAAGGGAACTCCAGGATCAGGTATTGGGCAAAATTTGCCTTCGTTGAGGACTTTTTGATGGAACTAACCCGCATTTGCGTTACATAGAGAGTAAGACCACGAGAACCTCCCACGGTTAGCCTGACGGCAAGGGGACTCTAACCCATGATCCGTCTACTACTGAGGATATTTCACGTCAGCACTGTGGTCGGTGCAAGCCGGATGCGGAATTCGTATCGGCTGGGATTCGAACCCAGTTCGCCGCATTGGAAGGCGAACGCTCTATCCCCTGAGCGATGATTGATCGATTCGAATTTTGCACCCGGCTAGCACGGACCACTGATGTAAAATATCCTTAATGATAGACGGATCATGGGTTGAACCTCCCCCCCCCCTTAGCCGTAAGACCAACCATGGGAGATTTTCGTGGTTTTTCTCGATGTACGCAAATATAGATTAGTTCCATCGAAAAGTCCTCCACGAAAGCGAATTTGTCCCCATATTTGATTCAGAAGTTTCCTAGTCTTCTGGATTGGATTAAAAGTTAAAAGGCTACGGAGTTGATCATTGATAGTCGTAAACCCAAAAAAGTGGGTCGGCTGTTCAACAACGGTTATAAAATAATAAACTACTACTTATAATTTAGTTTATAGAGATTTTTAAAATTATGAGGTACATATAAATTTTTACTGATTTCAAATTATGTAGTTCTGAATGATGCAAGATCAAAAATTTGAGTGGAATTAGTCGAATAATTTCTAAATTTAATTTTAAAATGTAATTTCAAATTTTCATTAGTTTAGATCTAGATGGTTATAATCAATATGGATTATGCATAACTTCTTCGCCAAGGTTTATTTACAAACAGTAATACAGCCTCTTAAAAACATTTTTGCTGAGAAAATCTTACAACTATCCACTTTATTGTTGCATTCATAATTTATTTTCTTGGCTTATTAACTGTTTTTTTTTTTCAGTATAATCTGAATAACAAAAGAATGGAAAGCGTTATTCGCAAAATTGCAGCAACAAATGAAATTCCAAAAGTGAATAACATCAGAAATCCAGACAGCCTGAAGCATTTCTGCAACATACCTGAAATCATCAACTTTATGAACTACAACAAAGAATGAACTTTGCAATATGAATGTAATTTTTTTATGTGTATATATTTTGTTAAAACAAATTGTTATTAAAAATATGACTAAATGAAACAATGTTCTTCGGTATATATTTCTCAGTTTACATGATATTTTTTTGGACTTAATAATGAAGCTTCAAAGAAGAAAATTAATTTTTGAAAAAAGCAATTTAGAATTGAAACTATGATGTTTAATAAACTATTATTAAAGAATTGATTAAAAAACTTCAATAGATCTGGGCTTTGATTTTGAAAAAATTGAAGTGGACTAATTCCTAGATCATTGTTATGCAAAACTAAGCAAATGGAATATTTATGCGAATATCAGAAAAACTACAGTTAAAATATTATTTAGTCCCGCAGTGGACTGATCGATAAGACACGGTTCCAAGCAGATCACTGAAGTCAAGCATCACTGACTACGGTCAGTGTGCGGGTGGTTGACCACTTGGATCAGTCTGCGTAGGGACCGAGGGTGTGCGGTATTGGTCCTCGTTAAACTGTTCTACCGTAAAGTGCTCGACTTCGCGTTCAGGTCGTCGAGCTACCGAAGCGGGGGTGCCATCCCCTCTGCAGAGGATCAAAATTGTGATGGCATGTCTTCGGATCATCCTCAGAGGTCTTTCCCAGACCGTCGCCAATAGCCCATCGTGCAGCTCCAGTGCGACGTAAATTAACTACAACAACAGCAACAAAATATTATTTATATAAAAAAGAAATATGCTCCTAAAATAGATAATAAAATATGACGATGTTATTATCTCTATTAGGAATAACATACTATTAATTTCAGTCCCGTCCTTTAAGCCTCATTACCAATTCGGTCCCGTTACCATTTAGTCTCGTTACCGTTTCAGTCCCGTTACCGTTTTGGTCCCATTACCATTTCGGTCCCTTCCCGATTCAGTCACGTTACTTTACGTCTGTTTTCATGCAAACATTCCTCCCTATTTCTTTCTTTTTTTTTTATTACACTGATGATGTGTCGATGGCCCTAAATATAATTTTTGAGTTTATTGAAATATTTCATATACATTCATTTATTATTTTCAGTGGCAGAAAATCAAAAAATTTTAAATGCTTATTAAGTATTTAAAAATCATCAGGTGTGGAATTAAGCTTCCAAATTATTAAAAATATTTACAAGGAACTGAAACAGCAACGGGACCAAAACAGTGGGACGAAAGCGGCAGCTCTAAAATATCCTGCTTCGTTTAATTTAGTGATTATTTCCATTACCAATCTTGAAAAAAAAAAGCATGTTTTTAAATTAAACTAGTTGGAAAGGTCAAAATATATTGTTAGTTAGTTCTTAATGCGCATATTTTAAACTTTTTTATCACCTATATTAAAAAATGTTAAAGCAGTTTTTTTTCTTGAGTGTAGAGGAGGAAACAATCTCATGTTATCAGTACAGATTATTTTAATTGATCCTTAAAATATTTAACATTACTCAAGAAACAAACAAAAGGTAGATACTATGATAGTATCTACTATTGATAATTTATGATGACAAGGCGAAAAATTATTATTCGATGATTTTCAAACTATTATTAAACAAAATTAATTCAGTTAACAAATCGTTTTCTCATCAATAAACGAAAAACACTTCATATGATGTGTACCATAAATAATGGATGTTGTAAATACGTGAAAGGTATGTATATTTAATATTTAATTGGTTTAATTAAAAGAATATTTTTAACTTACTATAGGTTTTTGGTTTTAAAAAACCGCACCCTCCGGCAACCTGGCATTCACTTTTAGAAACAGTCCATATTTTCGACCAAAATAAAAAAAATTGGTAGGATTTTTTTAGTGATTTTCCTGTTAATATTACAGCATTTAACATAGGAATTCAAAAAACACTAGCTTTCAAAAGTTTTTGGTCAACGCGTGAAAAGCATTTTAACATTTCTATGCGGGGTTTGTTTTTGAAGTTCTACTTCCTAAGCGACTTCCAACAAGGTTGCGTTAAACGTTTAACGCTACATTTTTATTGGCCGGGAAATCACGTGGTAGGATCCAGTTTTCCCTCTTTCATTTCCATATTGTTTTGGTTCTCACTAGCATAAAAATAATAAAAGTCATAAAAGCATTGTTTTTCTATAAATATTTTTTTAGTTTGTTTTGATACACATATAATTTAATAGGGTAGTATTTTTTTTTTCAAATTTAGTGGATAACAATTGTAAAAAATGAGTGAAAACAATCCCACGGACAATGCGACGATTTAAGGTTATGTCAAGGTACATCTCTTGTGAATATCAATTGTTAGGTTTTCTCTTCTGAAATTACATTATGACGCATTCACATACATTATTAATACAAATACATTTTCCAGGGCGAGGCAATCACAAGCACTTCCACTGGTTCAAGAGGTCCACGAGAGAAAAATGCACAATATTACCGTGATTACAGAGCACGGAAGCGAGCGGAGCAGGAAAAAGAGTCGTTGAATAGAACTAGTGATCCTTCTACGACTGCTGATTCTTCTACAATTAACGTCGCAGGTTGCGAAGCTTAACTTCTTCCGCGCGGAGGGACTCCACGCACTATTTTTTTTTTGTAGAGATGGTTTCTGCTTTATTTATATGGTTAAATGAAACAATGTTCTTCCGTATATTTCTCAGTTTACATGATCTTTTTTGGACGTAATAAAGAAGCTTTAAAGAAGAAAATTGATTTTTAAAAAAAACTTAGAATGAAAGTTAGTCAAGCCAACATATATAATACACTTTATTTCAGAATTTTTACCTTTCTTGCAATTTAATAGAAAATGTAATCTTTTTGGGATTAAATTTAAATCTCTGTACTCAGTTCTATATTTCTCTTTTTATATAATTCGAGTCTTGTAAGAACTAATTCTTCAAAAGTAAATGTCAATAATAAATTAAAGTTAAAATCACAGCTTTCGTAAATAAATATGCAAAACTTATACTTATTTGTTGAAATTGTATTTTCATCCAATTCTCAGATGTAAGGAAATCGCTTCACGAAAAGTAAATACCCGACTGATATGAAAATTGCATTTGATTGAAAGTGACTTTCAAAGTTGGTTCTGATTGATAAGCATATTAAGAATGTTCTGGAATAAAATTATACATTATTTATTACATTTCCAATCAACCATCTATAATATTGAGTTTGACCGAAGACTTTTGCACGCTAGTGTATTATTTAGAAATATACCATAGTAATCAAAACCAGAAATTCTGATTTTCAAAATTATAGTTCTTATTACCACATATTTAGGAAAAACTACGAAACTGAAAAGTAAATTTAAACAAATAAATGGTTCCTTATACTAAACTCTATTAAATCATGATAAAATTACCAAATTTGATCACATATTATAATACAATATTTTGTTGCTAATTTTATCAAAAACTTTGCTAAAGAAAGACAATTTACCGGGCATTCTTGCGTTACCCTAGAGCTAAGCACAATATAAATTTTACCTTACAATTTTTTCTCAGTGTAAGATGGGAAAATGGCTATTCGGTGAGTAATACAGTAAAAAGAAAAAAATATGAATTTAAATCCATATATAAACCATGCTCAATCCCGCAATTTACATAATCTTCTCGAGTTTCAAAGTTAATCAAGTATGTATTTCAAAAATTATACCAAAAAATAATGTAAGTTAAGTAGGAAAACGACACAGATTTGCGCGACAATATGATATCCAAATTGCTATCATTCAAATGCGAATCCAATGTATTAGCTTTCAGTTTAAATTTAAAAATCAGTTATATATTAATTTAGATATTACTAATGAAGTGCTGTACTACATATTTTATATGTCTAAAACAATTATGTATATAACTGCATTAAACTACAGTCTCTCTATGCTTTCAATTGTATTCTGCTTTTCAATGACCGACAAACTGTTTAATATTAAAGACTGCGGTGGGATATTTAGGAGTCAACCACTTTTTATCGCTAGATAAACTGATGTTAGTTAAACTAGCAAGTTTCATTTTTTGCGAGGTGAAGACATTTCTCAGAAAAATGGTTAAATATCGATTTATTCAACTTTTATTTTACCATATTCAACCAATACAGTCAATGAACCATGAAAAAGAAGGTATTTAAATTGTTAAATAAGAGAAAAATCGACTATTGTTTCACCTAATATGGTAAAACAACCATACTTTTATCAGCAAAAACTAGTCTCATCTTATGAAGCCACTTAGCTCCTCACGCAACTGGTTACGCACTATAGCCGAGAGAGCTAATCTGTCAATCTCATGACTGGCTGAACAGGAGGTTCAAATCCCAGAGTTGACATCACAATATTCCTTCAGCACATGAAGAGTTTTCAGTGTTCTGCACTTCTCAATTGGTGACCCTGGACGAGTAGAATATAAAACTCTCATTTACACATAGATGGAAACACCATAGAGACGTTTAATACTAAAAGCCCTGTATTTCCTGTAACTCATGACAAATGGCACTACTAGATAAACTATTTAAATCAGAATCCATGTTTCACTCAACAAAGCACTACTCAACCACACCCTAACTCTAGTGTCTATTACCTATCAAAGATATTAAGAGAACCTACCTCCAATGTCCAGATAAATTTCTTTTTTATATTTTTGAAAGCATGCTAATTGTAAATGGATACAAAACCCTATAGTTTTGCATTAACAATTTTATCACCATGCCAGTAGTAAAAAATATTAATACCGTGAAGGTAAAGAAATGTTTATAACCGTGAACTTTACGGTTAATTAGATGAACAGACTGATTCCGATTTTTTTACCATAATTTCAGACTGAAAATTCTAACAACGTAATAATGAAATTGATCCCCAAGTTTATAAAGTCAAATGGAACTAATTTTAATTTTCTTCAAAATCTAGTGGATACGGAAGAATTTTAAATTATGAATAACTGAATTTAAGTAATTGCTTCTGCATGTACTTTGCAGAGAACTTTATTTTTATTGCAACCCGTTGAAATTTAGTGTCATAGGAATAAAAATGCTGTGTTGTGGCAG